CCAAAGAGAGGCCCTGAGATATGGGGCCAAATTCCAGGACCCGAGAGGGAGTACTCATCAGGAACAAATGCTGAGTAGCTCTAGTTCTAGGAGTGCTGTGGCGACCGCTTTGGGTCGAGGTGCCCTTCTGGTAACTCTCATGCGAGGGACAGGTAGTGGCAATTACTGCTCTGTAAGGCCACTGCTTATTCCAATTCCAGGATCCAAGCCACTCCACCCCAGCCCCCACGTGGAGGGAGACCCGCGGGGTCCCCCATAGGCTTCTGCAGGCACTGAGTCTTGGCAGCATGCTGTGGGCCCCAGGGCTGGTCAGGAGGGAGGAGAGAAACTCCTGAGGGGGTGGGGGTGGTGGACGGGGGAGTGTTTCTTACCATTTGCCGCCAGGTGTCGCTGTCCACTTGTCCAGAAGCACAGGGAGGCCACTAGTGCCTGCCCAGACCAGAGAATTAAGGAACAGGGAGCTGCAAAGAGCTCAGTCAGTGGTGTGCTGGAGCCTGTTGGCAGCAGCTCAGGGGAGCCGATGATCCCGGGCACTCTTCCCAACAGTGTGTTCACTGGGACACCTTGGTAGCTTGACAAGCCATGGTGGGAGCATCTACACCGTGGAAACAGGCAGATGCTACAAATTCGGGCTCCGCCGCACTCTGTGCTGGTTGTTAAACATTTACCAGCACTCCCTGGGTATAGTGACCGTTTGGGACACTGACTGGGACACTGAGGTGCAGACAGTTTATTGAATTAGAGCTAGAAGAGAACCCCATGTGTGTGAAGCGCTGTGTTGGAGAAAACAGGCGTGAACGAGTCCCTTTCCTCTGCACTGCAGTGGGATTGCAGTGGAGGGCTGAGCGGGCGTCTGGCCAGTGTGCTGTTGGCCCCTGGTATTTGAGAGCTATAAAGGAGGGTTTAAACAAACTTCAAACAAAAACAGCAGGTGCTTGAATAACGTTGTTTCATTCAACGGAATTCCCTTATGTTTTTTGTTTTCTTTTATTTTTTTCTTGCGACAGGGTCTTGCTCTGCCACCCTGGGTAGAGTGCAGTGGCATCATCATAGCTCACAGCAACCTCAAATTCCTGAGCTCAAGCGATCCTCCTGCCTCGGCCTCCCAGAGTGCTAGGATTACAGGCGGGAGCCAGCACGCCCGGCCCTGAGTTGTATGTTGAAAGATGTGTAGGAGTGAAAACAGTTGAAAAAAGGTGGGGAGGGTGATCCAAGCAGCAGGGAGCTGTGTGGCCAGGGTTCTGAGGTGAGAAACTTTAGATCATACGGGAGCCTCAGGCCGCACAGTATTACCATAATGCAAAGCTCAGGCCACAGTGGGGAGAGGACTCTGGAGAGGTGGGAAAAGGCCAGTCCACACAAGCAAGCAGGTAACATATCACTCTTGCTACATGGGGTCTCGGTAAGAGCCTGTTGCTTTGTGGTCCTAGTGAGAGTTAGGCCTGAAACTCATCCTTGGGCACTGCAACCAGTCATTCATATTCAATCCACAAACATTCCCTGAGTCCCTCTGGGAAGCAGGACACCCATGAAACATGTTGGCAGAGAGATGGGTACAGAAAGAGTTGAGCCAAGGAGCCCGGGAAAGGAACTCCAAGGCCCAGCTTTTAATGAGAGTCCTTAGCAACAGTCAGGTACAAACACAGCAGGCACAGGCATATTCCATTAGAAACTAACTTTATTAACTATGTAGACTTGACAGACTCAAAATCTGAATTTGGTATTTCACTGGTGCCCTAAAGACAAGGATCATCAAATGTTTAATTGTGCAGGAAAACAGTGTCCACCGCGGTGTCTAAGGGTCATGAGATGAAAACTCTGCATCAAAGTTCTGGAAAGCTACGGAAATGGAGACTTCCTTTGGGCTCCCCAACTCTACCCATACATACTCTGAAATGCAAAAGCTTAGATAGAGGGCAGGGACCACATTGATTCAGTTTCTAGTAGCAGACACTGCATTTCCAGGTTGGGCATTGTGGGACATGAATTTTACAAAGTGCACAACTCCAAAGAATTCTCAGCAAGAGTCAAGGGGGAAGATGGAAGTTCTCTTCCCTGGAATGCCCAGAGAAGGTCCCTGAAGCCCAGCCTGCCCTGTTCTCCTGCCTGGTATAGCAGACTATGGACAGGAAATGGCCTGGCATACCCAAGGCTGAGGACAGTAGCCTCAAGAGATCTCAGCAGAGTTTACAGGAAGGCCCAGGCTGGACCAGCTGCCTGCACCTCCCCACTGGCCTGCACGTGGGTGTGGAGAGGAAAGCCTCCAGGCTGAGCCCTCCACCCTGAGATCTGAGCAGTCTGAACATATCGGACAGCGGCCCTGAAGACAGGAAACATCCCACCTCCAGGTTCCCTAAGGTCTCCTCCTCATCCACCAGCCCTGCTGCCCCCAGTGGCCCAGCATGCCCAGAAGTATAGGGAGGTAAAGAAGTCATGTGTGAACCATGAAGCTCTCTTCATTTATTTAGCATGAGAATGGGGAAGAAGAGGACTGTGAGGTCACAGACATGTTTGCACGAGGAAGTGTCCAGAGCTGGTGTTATCCACTAGGCCCTCGCTCTGCCAGGAAGTCTTTCTGCAAGGGGCAACCAGCTCACAGATGTCAATCACAAAAAAGTCATGACTGTTCCTTTCTTGCCAATCTGCCAGGGCTCCAGGGGTAAAAAGCGGATAATGATCCTTCAGGAGATAGAGAAAAAGAAGTCATCAGCTCCTTGGCTAACACCTCATCTTGTAAGACCCCCATCAGGTGCTCCCACTGTGGGATCCCAGGACAGCCCACCAGGCATTTTGTAAACCTTTTCTTCATAGTACGATCTTCCCGACCCCTGACAGGGCAGTGGGACTGTCAGATGTGGGATGATGGCTGCACACTGGCATGGCCCACCCAGGACAGACACTCAACACAGTAGCCTCAGTGTGTATGCTGTGCGCACAATCACCCCTATCAGTCTGTGCGCTGGGAGGGCAGCCTGCCTCCTCCTAACTGCAGGTTCCCTGAGGGCATGCAGTGCCTCAGCCAGACTTGTTTTCTCAAAGCCTGGCCCAAGGCCGGGCACAGGGTGATCCCCAACTAATGTCTGTGGAATGAGTGAACATGCCCCTCTCACAGAGGTGTCAGGAAGTTTCCAGTGAAGAGCAGCAGAGCTTGGGATAAGCTGGCTGGGGCAAGGGGAGGACGGTTATGACCCTGCAGTCTTTCCACCTGTAAAATCCGTATAATGGAGATATCCCCCCAAGATACCAGAATCCATATGCTCTAGTGTAGTATTTTCATATAACCTATGCATATCCTCCCATATACTTTAAATCATGTCTAGATTATTTATAATACCTAATGCAAAGTATATGCTGTGTGGTTATACTGTATTGTTTAGGGAATAATGACAAGAAAAATGTCTGTACATGTTCAGCCTTTTTTTTTTTCCTCAAATATTTTCACCCCACAGTTGGCTGACTCTACACATGCAGAATCTACAGACACAGAGGCTAACTGTATTATGCCTCCCCAGACTGAGAACCAGGTCTGAGCACCCATCACAGCCTTCCTGGGCCAATAAAGGCTCCATTCTGAACATTCCTTTCAAGCTGCTCAGGCCCTTATTTCCTCACGGGTATGGACGTGGTTCGGGAATATTTTTCACCCAAGAGGAAACTTGAACTCTGCTGCAAAATGCCAGGTTTGGGTTGTAGGGACTTTTTGTGGGGCTTCTTGTAGGGGAAGGAGCTCATTTAATCAACCCTCCCCCCCATTCCCAAAAGAGGTTGCAAACTGGACATGGTTCATTTCCAGGTTTGTCTGGGGTCCCCTGGCCATGCTGGGTCTAGAACCCAGCTGTCTGTCTACACACCCAGGCCAATGCTCTTTTCACTACTCTGTGACCCTCCCCCAAACCTCACCTGGAACGGGGTTGGGCCACAAGTCCAAAGGTCACAATCTCTGGACATACCCAGAATTCCTTATGAGCAGCCTGGAGAAGTTTGAGAAAAGCACACTCCCTGGCTTCTTCAGCCAGGTGCCAGGGCAGGTACAGCACACAGACCATCCCACATGACCCTTGGGATGCCCCTGGCGAGTGGTTAAAAAACAGCCTTCCCGGTTCACAGATGGAAACACTGAGGAGCACAGGAATGCACTCCATTCCGCTGCCACTGTGACGATGGACCCACCACCTGGGAGCCTGAGGGGTCAAAAGGCCCCAGGGCACCAGGCTCTGATAGGACCCTCCTGGGCAGGGCAAGAAATGTGTGTTTTCCCTGAGTTGGGATCACCGCCGCCTGTCTCGCAGCAGTCCAGAATGGGTCCTCTCACGACCCCTACGCACCGGTCCTGGCCCAGGGCCAGCTCCTTGGTGAGGACCTCGAAGAGGCGAGCGCTGTGGCCTCGGTTCTCCTCCGCTGTGCCCACCACGCCGATGGAGGAGACGAGCAGCCGCGCGCAGGGCTCCGTGGAGCCGTTCAGCGCCATGGACAGGCCCGGCCGCACCGTCACGTTCACGCGCTGCGGAGGACACTAAAGTTTTTCCCGAAGCTGGGGCGGGCCAGGCTACCTCTAGGGACCCGGGCGCGCGAGAGCCGAGACGCGCAGGTCTCGTGGGGTCAGGGCTCTGGGCACAGGCTGGGGTCCTTGGAGGTCGCGTCGGGGTCATGGCAGAGGAGGGCAGACGTGGGGAGGGAGAGCCGCGGGGTCACCGCGCACGGAAAGTCAGAGCTTGGCGGGCGCAGTGGGAGTGTCCCTGGGGAGAAAAGCCGGGGTCGCTGCGCGGCAGGAACAGAGCCAGACTCCTGGACCACCAACCTCCCCTCGCCCGCAGCTCCCCAGCCCACGCTCACGTCCGCAGGTTTGCCCAGGATGGCGGCGGTGGCCGCGCAGAGACGTTTCTCCAGCCCCGCGGGCACGCGATCGGCGGGCAAGTTCGTGTCCAGCTCAACGAAAGGCATGTCCGGCAGGAGCGCTGGCAGCGGCGGCGAAGGAAGAAGGAGCGGAGCGTGGCCGTGGTGACCCAAGGGTCCGGGACTAGGGAGCAGGGGCGGGGCGTCACGGTAACCAGGCTCCTCATTGGCTGGGCGGAGGCCCAGCGCTCCCGATTGGTTGCCTTAGGCTACACCCCGTCTCTGCAGAGAACAGTCTGGCTCTGACTTCTGGAAGTCCCATCGCCCGGCCCACTGCGTTAACCACACCCCCAAACGGCTGTGGCGACGGCTTTGGCGGCGTCATGGCCCCGCCCCCCCATCCGGCTCGCGAAAGTTTTCCGACTTGTGGTCGACGGGTTCCTGGCCCATATTTAGGTAGAGATCAAAAAATCCCCCTAAACACAAACACCTGTAGGGGCCTTCCCCAGGCTCGACCCTAATAACCAATGTCATGGGAGTTTAAAAATTTTTTGAATGAATTGCCACCATTTCAAAGATAGTTTCACCTCCAATATGGAGATCTGAGATTCTCTTGATCCATCAGGAGACCTGGTGATGCCTGCTCTGTAGCCTCTTGTGCCAGTGGTGAGCCACTGTCCGCCGTGGGTGGCAAAGGTGTTATTTACAACATGAAAATCTGTCGGCGTGGCTAAACACGAGTCTTTCATCAGTGTGCAAATTTGAATCGTAAATTTCAAATATAATTGAAATTGTGTGGTGTATGTGTACAATTTCAATTACACATAAAAATTGTGTACAAATGTGCATATTAAAGGAGCCTCCATGGGAAGGCAGGCCGGCCAAGAGTCTGCATCTGTCATGGCCCTGTCCTGTTAGCATTTCATCTATTAGACGACTCAGATATCAGAGGGTCTGGGACACAAGACAAGTAGGTTGTGACAGTCCTGAGGGGAGAACACAGGGACAGGTGGCAAGTCTGGGAGCCAGAGTGGGGCATGGAGAAGCCAGTGGTCAGGGTTACAAGGCCTGGGAGAACAAAGCTGCTCAGCGGCACGTGGGGGACCAGGAGTAACAGGGGCTTCCCTCCCCACAAGGAGATTTGTGAACCCAGCCCTGTGCCCCACCTGTGGGAGGCAGCATCGTCCCAGAGGGAGACTTAGGAGATGGAGGTCATATCTGACTCAGACATCTCTCCACCAGGTCGGCCTCCATCTGTGATTCATGCACAGCCCGGGGGCATTAAGCCTGCTGAGACTGAGGGAGGGAAACAGTGGGGCTGAGGAGCCCAGAGGGGTCGCCTGAGCTTGGCTGGGGCTGGGGGGATTAGGGAAGTCTCCCTGGAGAAGCATAGGGTGCCAAATGCCAAAAGTCCAGGAGGATCTACCAAGCAAAAAACGTAAGGAGGGAACGGCAGGAGCCAAGGCCAGGAGGCCGAGATGGGAACTGGGAGAGGGGTCTGAAATGTGTGTGGCCAGAACGGGGTGGCCTGGAGGTGTAGGGGCAAGGCCTTTAAAGCAAAGTTCAATGCCTTGTGCTTTTGCCTGTGAGGAACCGCAGAAAATTTCACATGGAAGGGCAAGGTCCACTAAGTGTTTACTAAAGCAGTTTCCAGAGGTCACGTGGAAGTTGGAACAGAAGGGAAAAAGTGGGATGGGGAGACAAAGGGAACACACACAGGCACGATGCCTGGAGGGTACTAGGGACCAGAGCCCACTCACACGGGAAGTCCTTACAGCCAAGGAGATAGGCAGCTCCATCTCTGTACTCTGCCAGCACAGGCCACCCGCTCACTGCAACAAATCCTGCACTGAGGGCCTCAGCTTCTCCTTCGTGATGGGGTCTGCCGGAGGAAGGTCCTTGAGCTTCAGGATGTCTGCATTGGCCTCCTGGAAGAGATCTTTCCCCACCGCAGCCTCCACGCGCTGGCGCCATGCGGCCAGCTTGGGTCGGCTCTCGAAGACTCGGCAGCCAGCGCCAACAGGCTACGGGGAGAGACAGCCAAGCACAAGGCAGCATGACCTGCATTAGGGACTCCCTGATTGGATCCTCCCTCCCCCACCACGTCTGTGATGGGTTGCGGGGGGGTCCATCTCCCAGGGGACAATGGGAAATTCCTCAACATTCCTGTGGTGAGGGGTTGTGAAGCCCCATTTTATAGATGAGGACACTGAGGCTCAGTGGGGGAAGTGACTCGCCCATGGTCCTACAGCCAGAAATGACAACGTGGGTGGGAGGTTGGCTCCCTCCCTGGACACCCCACTGCCCAGCAGGCCACCCCACCCCATGGTGCTCACATGCATCAGCTCTGAGATGGCTACCAAGTCAGCCAGGGAGATATGAGACCCAGTGAGGAAGGCCTGGTCCCGCAGAAACTTGTCCTCAAGCAGCTGCAGGCACCTGTCCAGCTCAGCCAAAGTGGCTGCCAATGTCTCAGGGGGCACTGGCTCACACAGGAACACAGGGAACATCATCTGGTGGGCCGGCAGGCAGAGAGGGAGGTCAGACTCTGCCCTGAGCCCATCCTGGTTCCCACCCTCATCCTTTCATCACCAGCCCTCTGGATTTCTCCTCACCTCTGCCCGCCCCTTTCCACCCATGGCCACCAGCAGCCCTCATTTCTTGCTCAGACAGGGATAACCTCTACCTCTCCCTGGGTCCTCCCACAGGGCAACCAGTGGGATCCTTCTGTGATCTCAATCTGCTCATATCCTTTCCTGCATAAAACCTTGCATTGCTCCCCACTGCCCTCATGACAAAGACCACAACACAGAGCCTTCCCCAGGCAGTAGCCGTCCTCTCCTGCCTCCCCACCCCACCTCCTGCTGTACCCAGGCTTCTCCAACGGGAATGTGTGTGTGAATGCCTGGACATCTAGTTTAAGTGCATGTTCCCAATCAGTAAGTTGAGGTGGGGCCTGAGACTCTGCATTTCCAACAAGCTCACCAGTGATGCCAATGCTCCTGGTCCACGGACCACACTTTGAGTAGCACGGGTCTGTACTCACTCCACTCAACTTCTCTCCATTCTGCCCTCAAACGCACCGGGCTCCCTCCCTACCAGCTTGGGGGTGGGGGGCTCTGCTCCCAGCTCCCAGAGGCTCCAGGAAGACACAGCTAAGTTTATGGAAACCACTTATTGCCATGAGCAGGCCCGTTTCACGCTCCCTCAAACATACAGGGCACCCCCTGTGTACTGGGCACCGCATAAGCATGCAAATATTAGTTTGGAGTATACATTTCAAAAACATATGCACATTTGATAAGTAAAAATAGTATGTGCATGTTGTGTTGATGTGCACTTATTTGATTATTATTAAACATGTTTTCATCCATTTGTTGACTGTTTCTCTCTGTCCTTCAATTAAACCCCTACTGGTTTCCTTTGCCCATGTTTCTCTGGTATCTTTGTCTGACAGCCAGTTCTAAGAGCATCTCAAAGATAAAATTTCTAACATATCTTTCCCAGCATTTTGCTTGTTTTAAGTTTAATCTTTTTTCTTATATAAAATTTCATTGTGTATGTAAAATCTGTGAGTCTTTTCTTTGTTGAGTTCTTCCAGTGTTCTCGGGCTTAGAAAGTCCTTCCATACCCAGAAATCAGACAAACATTTATTGAAATGTTTCCTCACTTCTTCCTAGTTTGGCTTCTTTCACCTAACACCTCTCCATCTGGGAATTA